TTATTTTTAACAGAACCAGACACTGAGCTGTGTGACATGAATATAATTATACATAAGAACAAACTGAGGCTGTGATGAAATAAGAAAGCAGATGACACTGTACAAAGAAATATAAGAAATAAACATTCATTCATTAGTGTCTGACGATATACAGTAGACAAACTGTACAGGCGACTGCATCAACTCAATTCAACTCAACTCATTTAGTCTCTTAACCACCACAAAAATCCATAAAATAAAATCAGACTCAAGACTAACACTGTGATTAATGAGTCAACTAAAATTCAACATAATACAAGCACGGGCTCGGCCTACATGGTAGGATGTCCCAAAAAAAAGACAAAAAGTAAATATATATATATATATATATATAAATATGACATGGCCAAAGTTACATCTCATTGAAACAAAGGTGCACTCTTAAAAACTGTCATGCATACTCAAGTCAATTTCACACTTACACTGTGATTGAGTCAAAACATTTTTAAAAAATACAACCATTGTAAGATAATTACAACCACTTTAGATCTGAATTCTTTTCCTAATGCTGCTTGCTGATGCATTCGTCTTTGTCCTGACTACCGAGTTGTAAAACTCTTCATGAGTTCTATTGGCTCAGAGCTCTGAAGTGTCGATGCCTATTTCAGAAATACATAACATAATACTAATGTTAAAGACAACATCAGCCCAAAAAAAGAATATGTCCATTTTCTTCTCTTATGATGGTACTCATCTTGGAGTTTTCTGAAGCTTGTTTTCTCCTCCTCCAGGTTCTGTTTTAGGTCCTGATTCATTCGTTCCCACATGTCCTTTTTTTCCTTATCCCAGACCTCTCGATCTCTCTTCATGTCTTTTCTACTCTGCTCCAGTTTCCTCTCAGCAGTTTCCTTTTGCTCTCTTTCTGACTGAACTCTTTTCTCTGAAGCTTCCAGTTTTCTTTTCCAATCCTGTCGTAGAGTTTCTTCTTGTTTTTTCCGTCTGTTTTCGTATTCCTCTCGTTCTTTCTTTCTCTCCTCGCGCTCTTTGTTGATGCATTTTTCTTTGTCCTTCAGCTGTTTTGATCTTAGTTTTCTCTCCTGTTCAATTTCTTCTCTCTGATCACTGACTTTCCTTTTCAGTTTTTTCACTTCTTCCTCATGATTTCTCTTCATCTCCTTCATCTCTTCTTCCTTCTCTTTCCTCATCCTCTCCACTTGTATTTTTGTGGATTGCTCTGTGTCATCAAACATCTCAGCGTTGTAGCAGCTGCCACCATTTAGCGTTACCATGGTTTCGATCTTGGTCAGCAGCTCCTGGACTTGTGTGCGGTTTGATTCATCTTTGTTATTAAAGACCTGATATCTTCCTCCACAGTCGTTTATTAGTTGTTTGACAAAGTCGTCACAATCTTGAAGGTAACTCTCAAATGGCTGATCGTCCAGTTCATCTCCTCTGGTGAATATAATGATGATGAAATCTCCAGACTTTTGGCCAAAAACCCTCTTGATCAGTTCCACAGACTCTTTCTCCTCTGGCGTGAAGTTCCCGATCTGCAGAACCAGTAAGAACACATGAGGTCCAGGAGCCAACATGCTGAAGCATCTCTGAAGCTCCTGTTTCATTTGATCATCAGAGAGAGTTGTATCAAACAAGCCGGGGGTGTTGACCACAACAACAGGCCGTCCATCAATCTCTCCAGTTGCTGTTTCACAAGACGTGGTCGGTGGTTTTGGGACGATTCTGGGTTTGAACTGCTTTTTGCCCAGAATGGTGTTTGCTGTTGCACTCTTCCCACTGCCAGTCTTCCCAATCAGCACCATCCTGAGAGGCTCTCTGCTCTGCCTCTCATCATCACCTCCCATCCCACTCCTCTGTCTGACACCCTGAAGTTCAGCTTTGAGTTGTGTAACCTTCTCCATCTGAGCCTTGGTGAACATGTCCTTTGTGAAGCACCTGGATCCTTCAACTCTCATCTTGTCCACAGCCTCCAACAGCTCAGAGATCTGCTGTTTGTTCTTGATGTTGACAACAACAGATCTTCCTCCACAGCTCTGAAGCAGCTCCTGGATGTCTCTGCTCTTTCTTATAAAGCCAACAACAGCTGGAGCTGCAGGATCTGACTCCACAGTGAACAGAATCATGGTGAATTCATTGATTTGAGAGCTGAATGAGTTCTGGATGGTCTCTAACTCTTTCTTGTCTTCATCAGTGAGGGGACCCACAGGTAGGACCAGGATGAAGGCATGGACGCCCTCAGGATCACAGAGGGAGATACACCTGAGTGATTCCTCCAGAGGTTTTCCATACAAGGCAGGGAGCTCCACCAGGGAAACCTGACGTCCTCTCACCTCTCCCTGATGTTTAACACACTCTGATGAGCTGGAGACTGAATGAAGCTCTGTCTGACCTAAAATGGCCTCGGCTGCTGAAGTCTTCCCTGCTCCTCTCCTCCCACACAGAACCAGGTTTAAAGCTGGTTTCATGTGTTCAGACTTCGGTGTCATGGTTAAACCTGGATCCTCATCCTCAAACACATCACAGCTCAGATGATCTCCATTGTTTTCCTTTGCAGTTTGACCCAAGCGTGTTAACAGCTCTGAAAGTTCAAGGTTCTTCTGCCACAAGTATCTGTACCTACATGTTTTGATCATGTCCTTCAAGGGTGGATGGTTCATGTAGTTTCCACCTGAACTCTCTTCTCTGGGTGTTGATATCAGAACCAGTGATCGATCAAATGATTTAACACTGAAGAGTTTCAGGACTCTGCAGAGCTTCAGTTTCTGTTCCTCAGTGAAGTCTTCAGGCTGTAGAACCAGCAGGAACACATGAGGTCCAGGAGCAGAGAGACTCACAATGCTTTCCACATGTTCTGTCAGTTTGTGTTCAGAGATGTTGTAATGCAGCAGATCTGGGGTGTTGATGAGAACTATTTCTTTCTTCTTCAAATGTCCTGTGAATCTCTGACAGCAGTCTGGTTCTTCCTCAGTGTTGAACGCAGTCTCTCCCAGTATGAAGTTCCCCACTGAACTCCTCTCAGACCAGCTGTTCCCCAGCAGAACAACCCTCAGCTCAGACACTGAAAAGAAAGAAGTGAATTAGAAAGATGAACTACGACTAGAACCTTGACCTGACATTAGGGATTAGGGATGTCAGAAGAACTCACTTGCTGCCAAAATCCAGACAGTATAGTATATACACATAACAGTACTTGTTTTTGTACAGTACCATAGGTATATAAGAAGATAAGAAGAAGGAGGCACAGTAAACAATAACCACAACAAGCACATGTGGTAGCAACAGGTCCACCTCAACTTGTAAAAGAGAAACACGCCAATACATCAGGGACAAGTTATACACAACCAAAACCAAGTATGCGCCTCAAAGACAGGAATCAGGATCTCTGCACTAGGGATGTCATGATACCTGTAGGGATTGGTACCGTCATCATGACCTTTGTTAAAAGTGGTATTTGTTGTGCCGAACTTCATTCTATCCAGAGTCATTTGATTCTGGACATGACTTCATTTACGGGCTTCAGCTAAAAACGTCTTGGTCATGATTCAGCTGTAAAGACACGGCACTTTTGTCGGTTTGGTAACACAACTACTGAAGCACTTGCTGCTCTGATAACAGTTCCAGAAAAACTTTAAGTCGCTTTGGAAGAATAGCTCATAAAACATCCAAACACAGTCAACGCTGTTGAACTCACTGTAAGGGGGAAGCCATGGGATGCTGCTGCTGTGGCTCAGAGGTCTCTCCCTCACTTCCTCTGTAAGAAAACAGAACAATAACATTTCAGAAAAATCAAACCTCAGTCAAATTAACATTCAGATTCCTTTATACCGTCGAGCCTTCCTTCAGAAGAGAAATGACACTGGCAAACATTGTTTGCTCAGAGACTTAAGTCGTGTGGATGGTGCAGACAAGTCCATTAACACCAGGAATAGGATGATATATACATTTTTAAACATATCAAATAAATGATCAATAATTATTGATATTCCTATTATTTTCAGTGTGTATTCTCCTCAGCAAATCATCTCATGCCTGTCATCATTCTTCCTAACACATGTCGCATAAAAGAGATGGGCCACAACTTCCACAATCCTTGTTATATATTAAAAAATACTGTTCATTCCTCTACCTCTGAACAAATAAGAAGAGATATTATATATATATATAATATACTATATTATATTATATACATATTTCTGCTGTAAATCTGACCGTACTCACCAGATGTTGCAGCAGCGGCCATATTGTCACTGTGCTGGAAACACCAGAAGAAGCTCAGCTGGAGACCAACATTTGGTTTTCAAAATGCTGAAAACACAAAAGAACAAAATGTTTGAAGGTCATTCTCCAGGACACTTTTAACAACCGGGGGCAGCTCAGTCACTCCTCTCTATAAATGATCAAACCAACTTTATGGGTCAATACCGATAACTGCTGCAGACACAGGCGTGATGACACTGAAGACACTGAATCATACAAGACTACAACACTAATCTAGATTCCTTTTCCTGTCCTTGTCTCTGTTTCTCTGGTTTAAGAAAAACAAATCCTACAAAGTCTCTTAAAACACATCAGATGCTAAAAAGGCAAGAAGTGAAAAACAAATTGACAACTGACCTCTCATACAGGGAAAGCACAGGTTAGAAAAACATTCACAGCTGCATCCCTTGTAGGAGTTTGTCCCAGTACTGTGCATATTGTTTTTGGGTCGTCTGTCTGTCCATACGTATGTACACACAGTAACGCCTCGACAGCACTTATTCAAATTCACTTGGACTCAAGGATAAACTGACTGACTTAATTATGAGTTTTTCGACCACCTGAGAACCCCTTCCTTGCTCACCTGGAAAAGGCCAGTGTGGGATGATCCACGGTTCCTACCTGAGACTCTTAGTATTGCACTATTAAGCGCTTTAGTCAAGTGGCTGCTATCTCACGTTATTTTGTTAAATTACTGCACACGTACTGTATGTGTCTGATTTGTGTACATGTCTGGCCCGTTGTTTGTCTATTGTTTATGTGTTCTCACTAATTGTTTGTTCAAAATGCAAACAAATACAATATTAATAAAGTTATTTTCTTCTGTCACACGGTGACCTCAGAAAACACATTTTTGTCCATAACTCACAAATCCATACACTAATTATGACACTTAAGTCTATGAGCAGAAGATGAAGTGATGACATTTTATATCCAAAAGGTCAAAGGTCATTTTCACTGTGACATCATAATGTTATGCAAAAACACTAATAGTCATTATTCAACACTGTAACTCAGGATGGACTTGGCTGGTTGGTGGAGGAAACAAACAGGGAGGAGGTGATACTAGTTTTATTTGATTCTTTTTCCCTTTGTCTGTTGAGACAGCATCTTGAAATGGAGATTTTAAAGATAATCCTGCTGCAGGCCTCTAAGGCCAAGCTCTCCATCTTCACCTGTTAGACGTATTAGAGGTATAACTTTGGCCGGTAGCAGCAGTAGCAATACTGTAGTAGCTGTAACACTTCCACAGACAGTGAGCAGCAGCAGGAACACAGGTGTGTACAGAGCAGTAGTCCTAAGGCCAGAAGCCTCACAGTATATTTTTTACTGGATCTCCTTCCTTATTCTTTCTGTGATGGAAACAGAAACAGTCTTAAGTGAAATATATATTTAAAATCATACTAACTGCCAAACTCTTTAACATGTCATTCAAAAAAAAAACTGTTTCCATTCGTTAAAAATACAGATTGATCATTTACTTCCTGTACAACATGTTTGCCACACTCATCTAAAACAGCTGGTGTTTGTCTCCGCACTCGTGTTCAGCCTGTTTTATACACACACACACACACATATATATATATATATGTATATATACAGGCTGAACATGTATACACATACATATAATGTGAGTGATGTTCATTCTTGGTCTTCCTTTTGTAATTTCGTCAGCCGACTGCTTTTCAGCTGTTGTCACCGCGTGACCCTGCACCGCAATCAATCATTCACAATCACTTTGAATTACTTTCTAACCTCATGACGATATAAAAACTTTATAATACAAGTGTTTCGATCCATCAACACTGAATCTTAACATCTATATATTTCGTTTATTCCTGTGTTTGTAGTGGATTTCACTCACCAGCTGATTCTTTCTGCGCCATCGGCTCCAACGATAAAAGTGAAAGTAAAATTCGCGACTTTTAAAAGTTTTAAATCGGTATTTTCCTCAAGTTCAGATGAATCTTAAGAAGTTTAAAAGTTGCCTAAATATGTAGAAGACAAATCTTGATGATAAATTCAACAGGGAAACAAAACTATCTCCTACTCAACCTAACATGTCGGTCCTGAATCACTCTTGTTTCCTTGTAGAGTTGTGACGTTCACGAACCAACCGAATCTTTTGACCGGCTCATTAACATGAACGACGGGAACCGAGTCGCATTAGTTGGGAGCCGTTCTTTTTTTTTTTTGTATTAGTAGTACTAGTGGGCTGTATGCACATTTTTTTCCCTCTAATTTATTGTAGGTTTATCTATTTTTCTAATACTTGAAGTATTGTTTTTGAGTTTTCTATCAAAATATTCTTGTGTGAAACGTTTTTCTCTAAAATTTGCACTTAAACATGACAGTGTTACTGACCAACAACTTAGTATTTTTTTTACAGCACCTTTGATCTTTATTATAAGCCTTTATTATATAATTTTAAAATATTGTTTTGAGTTTTTCTGTATTGTTAAAAATGTTCTTGTGTGGAAATTTTGCACTAAAAGCTTTTGCATGGAACTTCATTATAGCCTGCTTTGTTTTTTATTGTGTATTTATAAATGTTTAGGTGTTGCATGAATAACATTAGTCAAAGTAGTTTTACACATGTACACACACTTTATACAAAGGGTAAATAGTGATCTCACTGTCAACTCAGAGGGATATGGCAGTGGAATATTTACAATGAATCCATATCAGACTTTAAAATCTCGTCCACACATGTCAAATGAAGCTATAATCAATATTTCAGAATAATTCAAACTGAAATATTGGTGGTAAATCTGAGTTCGAAATTATTCTGATCCAAATCTCAGCCCATCATTCCTCCGTGATTATTTCCAGGATAAAATGAATTAACCCCAGGCTGGCTTCTTAAAAGTGAATAAATATAAAAATGAGCCAATGAACGGATCCCAAAGATCCAGCTCCCTCCAAAGAGCCATAAATCCCATCTCTATTTCCTTGCCCTAACTTTTATTCAAACAGGAAGTTCACAAGTTGATGTCAGCACTCCACCTGTTGGACACAACAGTGAAAACACAGTTTTTATTCAAACCATTTTATTTGCCACTAATATTAATTTGCCATTAATATTAAATCGAACGAACCATTTCTAATTTAATTTATATCAAACTCACATTACTTTGATAACCAGTCCCATAAAGTAAATAGAAATGCAGGATATCAGTGGTTCATAGATTATTGCGGGATAAAAAGGAAATGCAATAAAAGGTTAAAATGTAAAGGAAATATAATTAAAAGGCAGAGTGAAAAACATTTAGATGGTGGGCAGAAGTATTTCTACTTGCTGTTACAAAAACTAATTTATAAATAACATTCCCCCTCATAAGTTACTGGGACCAAAGACAGAGTGCAAAAGGGAAATTGTCAGAATCCACAATGCAAAATATTATGTTTATTGTTTTTCTATTATTTGCAATTTTCAATGGAAGATTTATTTTTTTTATTATATCAAAGTGGGGGTGTCCTGGTCCTGGTGACCTGTATTTACAACATCCCTGGTCCTGCCAGGGCCCTTGGTTGCATGTCACCCCATCAACATTACCCAAAGCCCAGCCACATATAGAGATGATATACCCGAACATATTCCATCAACTGTATCAAAAATAAAAAGCTGTATCACTTTGTACATATTAATATTATGTTCCATTTAGTTTGGATTTTCATGCACAAACACGTTATATATTTTTCTTGTACTGTACAAAATAAACAAGGACAAATGTCATTTCCAGGGCGACATGGTGGTACAGTGGTCAGCACTGTCACCTCACAGCAAAAAGGTTCTGGGTTCAAACCTGGAACCAACAGGTTCATCAGTGACTCTAAATCACCTGTAGGAGTGAATGTTTCTGTATATCATCCCTGTGTAGCTGATGGATGTCATGTCCAGCTCTTTAGTAAAGAGTTATTTTTAACAGAACCAGACACTGAGCTGTGTGACATGAATATAATTATACATAAGAACAAACTGAGGCTGTGATGAAATAAGAAAGCAGATGACACTGTACAAAGAAATATAAGAAATAAACATTCATTCATTAGTGTCTGACGATATACAGTAGACAAACTGTACAGGCGACTGCATCAACTCAATTCAACTCAACTCATTTAGTCTCTTAACCACCACAAAAATCCATAAAATAAAATCAGACTCAAGACTAACACTGTGATTAATGAGTCAACTAAAATTCAACATAATACAAGCTCGAGTTCGGCCTACATGGTTGGATGTCCCAAAAAAAAAGACAAAAAGTAAATACGTATATATATAGATATATATGACATGGCCAAAGTTACATCTCATTGAAACAAAGGTGCACTCTTAAAAACTGTCATGCATACCTTCAAGCTTTCCATAGAATAAAATACATAAAGATCTTCTGAAACGGTGTGTACAATAGTGTGTGTAATTATGTACACAATATATCTACACAATACATATAGTGGCTGGTATGAAGCAGGTGCGCTTTTTCATATTTTGAAATTAGACAGCTAACACAACTTATACACTTAAGCAGATAGTTATACCACTAATACAGTGTATTTTGATGAAGACCAGTTCCAGTGTTTCCAGTCTCTCTACTCAGCGAGTTAGCCTAGCTCAGTTGTGAGACACATAGAGATAAAAAACAAAAAACAAAACATGATTTTTCTCATTTATCTCTCTCTGCTGCAAAGAAGTGAATTTCCAGTGAGCAGTGGTATTTACATTACACTTACTGATGGTAGTGACTACTATCTACTGTTATCTCTCTTAGCTAGCTAGCACAGGCCTCTCCTGGAATTCATACACACTTTTGATCAGACTTTTAAAGGTGTTTGAACCATGAATATGACAATATTCAAAATTTTATATCCAGGAATAACTACTGAAATACTAGATATACTACTATTGGAATACTAGTGTGCATGTAAAAGCAATCACTGAGAGGACGGGACCTCTGAAGAGAGGGACACTTCTGGCCACTGGAGTTACTGTAAGATAGCAATTGATGATTAGTAAATATTTCTAAACTGCGACATTAAGTCTTTTTCTACATATTCTATATAGAGAAGATGAGACCTGTGGGTCTGGAGGCTTTAATTACTCACCAGTATTTAGAACTGTATTTTATATTTTTAATTATATTTTATGTTACTTGATCATCACTGCTTTTATGCACCAGAAATGTGATTTTACAGGTTTAACCAACTCATTTCAAAGTAGCTGTATCCTGGTTGTTGAGTTTCCAGCCACATTGGAAAATTAAAACAATTACTGTTGTCCATTTTTATTTTAAGTCACATAGTAAACTGGGGTTTGAGAAAACCTACTCAACAACCAGAGAACTGAATGTAGAAGACATAAAGGTGTTTGCACATCAGGAACAACATTTTTCAGAGGTGACTTTAAAGGTATAATATGCAGGACTTAAAGTAAAAAAAACAATGCATAGACTCATATAACAATACAAAAGTAATCTGTAAATTTGAACATAACCACTGTGAAACTATCAGAGAATAACATTATATTTCTCTGATTCACTGCTTTGTTCTCACAAACGCCGCTTCCTCTCTTTATTCTTGCTTGACCACCGCTGCTCTCTCGCACTTGCTCATTGTAAACGTTGTATAGTGTGTTTAGAAAAATCATATAGTACCTTTAACGCACCACAAACATTCACAATGTTAGTTGGCTGGCTAGTTTCTATTGTCTTTCCTCTCTGTATTTTACTTAATCACTCCTAGTGTAAACTTTATAAATATACCTTTATCTGCAAAGTCTATAAATGTCAAACTGCAACTTTTACCTGACTAGCAAGTTGTAAAACTCTTCTTCTTCTCTTCTTTTGGCTTAGGACTCTGTAGTGTGTGAGGATACCTATCTAAGAAATAACATATAACAAGTGATACTAGAATAAACAGTTCTCCTGTTGGAGATTTCTGTATCTTGTTTTCTCGTCCTCCAGATTCTGTTCAAGTTCGAGAATTTTTTTTCCCATGTCCTTTCTTTCCTTATCCCAGGCCTCTCGATCTCTCTTCATCTCTTCTCTACTCTGCTCCAGATTCCTCTCAGCATTTTCCTTTTGCTCTTTTTCTGACTGAACTCTTTTCTCTGAAGCTTCCAGTTTTCCTCTCCATTCCTGTTGTAGAGTTTCTTGTTGTTTTTTCCATCTCTTTTCATCTTCCTCTCGTTCTTTCTTTCTCTCCTCACGCTCTTTGTTGATGTGTTCGTCTTTGTCCTTCAGCTGTTTTGCTCTTTGTTCTTTCTCCTGTTCAATTTCTCCTCTCAGTTTTTTAAATTCTTCCTCATGATTTCTCTTCATCTCCTTCATCTCTTCTTCCTTCTCTTTCCTCATCCTCTCCACTTGTATTTTTGTGGATTGCTCTGTGTCATCAAACATCTCAGCGTTGTAGCAGCTGCCACCATTTAGCGTTACCATGGTTTCGATCTTGGTCAGCAGCTCCTGGACTTGTGTGCGGTTTGATTCATCTTTGTTATTAAAGACCTGATATCTTCCTCCACAGTCGTTTATTAGTTGTTTGACAAAGTCGTTACAATCTTTGATATAACTCTCAAATGACTGATCGTCCAGTTCTTCTCCTCTGGTGAATATAATGATGGTGAAATCTCTAGACTTTCTCCCAAAATATTTCTTGATCAGTTCCACAGAGTCTTTCTCCTCTGGTGTGAAGTTCCCAATCTGCAGAACCAGTAAGAACACATGAGGTCCAGGAGCCAACATGCTGAAGCATCTCTGAAGCTCCTGTTTCATTTGATCATCAGAGAGAGTTGTATCAAACAAGGGGGGTGTTTTTACCACAACAACAGGCCGTCCATCAATCTCTCCAGTTGCTGTTTCACAAGACGTGGTCGGTGGTTTTGGGGCAATTCTGGGTTTAAAATGCTTTATGTCCAAAATGGTGTTTGCTGTTGCACTCTTCCCACTGCCAGTCTTCCCAATCAGCACCATCCTGAGAGGCTCTCTGCTCTGCCTCTCATCATCACCTCCCATCCCACTCCTCTGTCTGACATCCTGAAGTTCAGCTTTGAGTTGTGAAACCTTCTCCATCTGAGCCTTGGTGAACATGTCCTTTGTGAAGCATCTGGATCCTTCAACTCTCATCTTGTCCACAGCCTCCAAAACCTCAGAGATCTGCTGCTTATCCTTGATGTTGACAACAACAGATCTTCCTCCACAGCTCTGAAGCAGCTCCTGGATGTCTCTGTTCTTTCTTATAAAGTCAACATCAGCTGGAGCTGCAGGATCTGACTCCACAGTGAACAGAATCATGGTGAAGTCATTGACTGGAGAGCTGAATGAGTTCTGGATGGTCTCTAACTCTTTCTTGTCTTCATCAGTGAGGGGACCCACAGGTAGGACCAGGATGAAGGCATGGACGCCTTCAGGATCACAGAGGGAGATACACCTGAGTGATTCCTTCATCACTTCCTCCTGAGGTTTTCCATACAAGGCAGGAAGCTCCACCAGGGAAACCTGACGTCCTCTCACCTCTCCCTGATGTTTAACACACTCTGATGAGCTGGAGACTGAATGAAGCTCTGTCTGACCTAAAATGGCCTCGGCTGCTGAAGTCTTCCCTGCTCCTCTCCTCCCACACAGAACCAGGTTTAAAGCTGGTTTCATGTGTTCAGACTCTTCAGAGAAGGTGAGGAAGGTTTCTTTGTTTTCACGCACAATGTTCTCAATCTTCTCCATCAACAGTTTGTGGTTACTTTCAACCACGTTATAGTGTCTTCCATCGCAGTCTTTAAGCAGCTCATTCACAGTGGAATGTGTTCCACTTTCCTTCTCTGTCATGACGACCATCGAGTGTTTAAAAGCATCTGGACCAAACAGACTCAGGATGAACTTCAGTGTTCGTCTGTTCTCCTCAGTGAAATCAGAAGGTTTCACTAACAGCAGCAGAACATTTGGTCCAGGAGAACAAAGATTCACGCAGGTTCTTGCCTCTTTTCTCACTTTCTGCTCAGGCAAACTGAACATGTCTGATGTTTTTACTACAGTTAGAGATTTTCCTCTCCGCTCTCCACAGGTGGCCACACATTGTTTGATTGGAAAATCTTTGAGGAAATGAAATGCTGGAGCTCCCATAATGAAATTGCCAAGTTTTGTTTTTTTCTTCTCACATTTTCCGACCAGCAGAATCCTGAGCACAGGCCCTATAACACAACCAAGAGAAAAAACATATGGTCACAATTCAGAGTTGGTGACAACAGGTGAGTGGACACAAATTCAGCCACTAGGGCCAAGCAGGTACTCAACCATAGTGAAAATTGAGCTTTACGGACAGCATTGGTACAGCTGTTTAAACAGTTCACAGGAAGCAAAGGAGGAAAAGGTAGACATATGATGGCTGGATGAAGGGCAAGGGTGGTCGAAACACAGAAGTGACATGTAAGAAAAGTTGAATTGAGGGCAAATGGACTTAGACTTAGACCAAGATACTTGAAGATGGTTCACTTCTTATCCATGAGGCTTCTTTGGTTCTGTCTGGTGAAGAGATCCAGGTATTTAACCTCTGTGTAGGTCATTATCAACCGTGTTGTGCCAGTCATGCCATCATGCAGTGTGCCGTAAAACTGACGTAAAACGTGAGTGGCGGTCATTCTCACTGGAGTAAACGCAGTTCATGTTCGTGTTCATCATTTGTAAACAGATTCGTTCAGTTAGGCGTTCACAAAAAATATGAACGTGTACAATGAACGCTGTTCATTGTACAGAAGCCTCTTGGATGAGAAGTGAAACTTCTTCAAGTATCTACAACCAAGTCCAATTGCCCTCAATTCAACTTTTCTTGGATAACCATGACCTGATGACTGAGAATCTTCACAGACAGAAGCTACACATAAGTAGTGATGGTTAAAAGAAGCTTTCTGAAGCACTAAATCACTGTGAATCAGTTGTGTTGAAAATGGTCCATAGTTTGAAAACATCTGATAGAGTCAAAAATGGTGATATCTGTTGGCCAAAGGTTTGGTACTGTATATGAGAAGATGGATTACATCTGATACCATGATGAAATAGTTGGGCCACAATATTAGTGGGATCGCAATGTTCATTATTACTATTTCTTTCAAAAAAGCGTGTACACCCCCCCTAATATGAATGTGGCATAACAGAGCTTGTTTGGGATGGTCACTTGAGTTTTTGCAGGATGAAGAAAGGTATTGAAACATCTTGCAGCGATAGTTCTGCTTTGAAAGATCAATACTGTGTGGAATACCCTGCTTTGAGCAGAACATCTCTACACAGGTTTCAGATGTGTAACAAGCAGACACGGCAAAACACGGCACCCTATCAGGGAATCACTGACGAAGAAATCCGGTTGGTCAAGACTACACTATAAACTAGGGATGCTGCGATCACGTTTTTTTTTTTCTGCCAATACTGATATCGATACCGATCATCTGTGGTCGAGATCAGCCAATCCACGACTGATAACGTTCATTTTTGGCATGCGTTGCAGATGGCGTACATTATATCAGTCTCACACACTTTGTAGAAGTTTCACAAGGCTGATATGTTGTTCTGTTTTGGCGCATTGAACAATGTGGGAGGCGGGACTACACTGCACAGCACACACCTTCTCTCAGCCGCAGACACCAGAGTATTAACCACAGGTGATCGGGTTTAAGGTGATCGGTGACTAGGAGCATTAATGCTGATCTCCTGATCATGTATTTTTAATGACAATCGGCCAATCATGATCGGCAGAGTCTCTGCTGCTGTGGAGAGTCCCAGCATCTGATCAAGTACCTATGATACAGATTGATTAAGTAGCTAAACTTGTGTTCACTCTCACTTAATATTTTTTCTAATTTGGAGAAAAATTTGTCAGGTACCTAGTTAGTGTAACAGACTGCAAACAATGTTATTTTGACACCAACACATATATTGTTTTCGTGTTGTCCCTCCCGTTCTCGTGAATGCAATATCTCAGTAACGCCTTGATGGAACTTCTTCAAATTTGGCACAAACATTCACTTGGACTCAAGTATGATTAGATTTTGGGGGGTCAAAGTTCAAAGGTCAATGTCACAGTAACGTCACAAAACACATTTTTGGCCATAACTCACGATTTCTACACTAATAACGACACAATTTAACTCAAATGTCTATAAGGACAAAATGAAGTGATGATATTTCATATCCAAAGGGTCAAGGGTCAACTTCCCTGTGACATCATAATGTTCTGCAAAAACACTTCTGGCCATTATTCAATGCTGTAACTCAGGAAGGGGAGTTTGTGGTTAGGGTCAGGGCATACAACCACTAGGAAGTGATTCTAGTTTTTGTATTTAATATAAATATTGGGCCATCTAAATGTTACTTTTACTTCTACTACCTAGACTACTTTTACTTGAGAGCAGCTGTTGGCTAATACACCCACCTCTAACAGCTGCAATGAAAATGCTGTTACTTTTGATCAATTTACAGAAGGCAATACCAGGTGTGTCATGTAATGTCATGTAAATTGCTGTAGTATATTTATTCAGTTCACTTACTCTGGTTGGTTGTACTTTCCACTGGTGAAGGAGTGTGTGACTTGATTGCTGTGAAAAGACAAAACCATCAATTACAAGATGCCATCTTCATCCAGATGTTTTACTGTATGTGATGAGAATTTTTAAGTCACTCTCAGTGGACACCAAAGTTTTTTTCTGAATACCAGAATCATTTAAACCAGAAAGAGTCAACCATAATATTAAGTTGACTTAATGTTCAAACTTAATCAAGGATCATTTGTATTCATCACATTATAATAAATGGGTCCTGAACCTACCAACAGCTGCTCTAAAAGGATCCAAGCGGACACTGTCCGTTTCCCCTTGTTTCAGGCTTCCAAGACCACTGGTTAAGTCAGACTTTGTGTCCTCAAACACGTCACAGATCACATGATCTCCGTTGTTCTCTTTTACAATTTGGCTGAAGCGTGTTAAGAGCTCGTCAAGTTCAAGGTTCTTCTGTAACAATAATCTGTATTCACATATTCTGATCATGTCTCCTAATGGTGGATGTTGCATATAGTTTTCAATGGAACCTGAACTCTCCTCTCTGGGTGCTGATATCAGAACCAGTGAATGGTCAAATGATTGATCAATGAAGAGTTGAAGGACTCTGCAGAGCTTCAGTTTTTGTTCCTCAGTGAAGTCTTCAGGCTGTAGAACCAGCAGGAACACATGAGGTCCAGGATTAGAGAGACTCACACAGTTTTTCACATTTTCTATCAGTTTGTGTTCAGAGATGTTGTAATGCAGCAGATCTGGGGTGTTGATGAGAACTATTTCTTTCTTCTTCAAATGTCCTGTGAATCTCTGACAGCAGTCTGGTTCTTCCTCAGTGTTGAACGCAGTCTCTCCCAGTATGAAGTTCCCCACTGAACTCCTCTCAGACCAGCTGTTCCCCAGCAGAACAACCCTCAGCTCAGACACTGAAAAGAAAATTATTCAAATCATTTGGCATATTTGCTATTACAACACATAATGCAGTATATCAACAATGATTTCAATGAGTTTTTTTAGTTTCTTAAATCTTACACTTTGACAGCTTCTCATATGAAACGCTGTAATATTAGATTTTAAAATAAAAAAACAATTCAGACTCACTGTTAGGTGGCAGGCCTACAATGCTGCTTCTGCGCTTCCTGGGTTCTATCTTATCTGAAACTGTAAAAAAAACAGAAGTAAACAAGGTCATTCTTTATGTCTTCTACATCTGTTCTCTAACGGACACGTTTGGGATACAACCAACGACATCAGACAAATTTGCAATGACTATTAGTGTCTGCTGACAAGTATGATTTTACCAGCTATGAGCATATTTTCTCCTTGATCATATTGTATTAAATAAAGAAAGACAAAGGTAATTAAAAAAAATAAAGTGACATTCATTGAATACCCAAATCACTATCGGGTATAACTCACCTCTTTTGAAAAGACATTTACACTGAATATTTGGCTGCTTTTACCTCAGTGTTCCCTCCACAGATAAAAACAACCATGTTCCTCAAGACCAGGGACAGTTCTGGGTTATTATTATTATCATTGTTACCATTTTATTTTACTTACTTTACCCGCAGATAAATTTAGTTTGATTTGATTTTTAGATTTTAATACTTGATCCAACTCTACTGGACTGAAATTCACTTTTTACTTGATGAAGTTCATTGGTTTATTTATGGTTTAATTTGTTTTCTTATTTTATCCATGATATATAAAATGTTATTGAAGGTTCTCATTCAGTTTGACTCACAGTAAGGACGACCAAAGTCAGGGCTTCTGCTGCGCTTCACAGGATTTGAATAATCATCATCTATAAAAATACAGAAAAACACAAACACAGATATAAATCCCTTTATACTGACCAGTAATGTTCTGTACACAATCATGACAAAACAGTGGCGGTCATCAGTTGATGTCAGCATCTAAACTTGAACCTGCAGGTCTGGAAAAAATACCAGGTCCAGGTTGTGTTGTTGTGAGAAGCTTCAGGCCTGGATCAGCTCTGACTGCCAGCACTCTCAGTCCATGTGAGCCCTTCAAGCACAACTGTAAAAACAGCTTGTACTTGTTATTATTTGGCATTAATAACAATTTCAAGTTGTTCAGCCTTAAAAACTGAAATTATCAGCATTTAAAGTAAAAACTGAAATTGTGCAAAACGACAAATCAAACCAGTCGCAGTTGTTGTTTTCCCATCCAGTGCCCACGATGTTTAAATAGATATACACTTTCACCCTTTTGAGCACCCATGGGTTTTAAGTTCCTCTACAGACATATTGTATACTCTGTACAAATCCTCTGCTATGATTATTATTTTGTTGAACCTGATTTTCATACATAAAAAAACATGTAAAACTGGGGCTGAAGGTCATCTACTCTAGATACTGATCTACTCTGGATCGGGCCTTTTCCCCCACCCACCTGCTTTCTCCAGGTTGACAGGTGAAAGAGCAGTGAGTACCAAGATGATGATGATGATGATGATGATGCATACAACTGTGAGACGGTTATTCTAGTTTGAATGTGTTTTTGAAATAAAGTCTGTGTTTAACACCAGCTTGAGACATTGTCACATTTTATTCTACAAAATAAAACATGTCAGTTAATACTCAAGTCCTGATTTCTTTAAGCTTTTATGTCTCGGTTGCTAACGAGGGTCTACATGAGATGACAGAGGCTGTCAGGGACGTTAAACGTCATCATTTTGAACATGAAAACTAATCTACTCACCAGTCCACCTTTACAGCCTGGTTAACTCACCAGTCCACCTTTACAGCCTTGTTGTGTTTATACAAACTGTCACTAACTCTGTCAGAGGAAAGGCTTTAGTAGAAGAGGTCAGAGCTGAATTAAACTACAAGTTGAAGTTTAGTGGTGGTGACACTGAAGTCATGTGACTGTGGTGTCTTTGATTTATAGCCTAACCAAACCAAACAGCCTCAGGTGCATTATCACCCGCTTCTGGGCTGGAGTAGAGCTGAAGTGTATTAAATCTCACCTGGATTTTATCCAGGTATGAGACACTTGAAATGACAGGAGTAAAAGTGGCCAAAGACTGTCTTGGTCTGGGTCTCAGATTCAGGCCTTTGCAGAACTCGACAGGTTTCGACATGTTGTTCAGATCACAGAACACTCACAGAATCTTTCAACTGCAAGTATCAAACAAAATATGATGCTTCAGACTAAAACAAAACTTTCAGAAGTAGCAGAGGAAAGTTACTTAGTGACAGAAAAGTCCCTCTATACACATTTTCCTGTCAAGACTTCAGTCTGAGGACAAAGTGTTGTTATGATGTGTGTGACATGAGGACAGTGTGAGAAGACAGTGAGTTATAAAGTCTGACTGGACTCACCTGGTGCTGCAGCCGCCATCTTGTCGTCTGCTGAGAACATCAGAGACTAAATCAGCTGGAGGGAAGAGGAACCAGAGTTTAGCTTCTCTGTTATTCACATACTCAGATGCCATAACTCATTATCAAGTGTTTAGTTAATGTGTTTGGACAAACAGTGAGAGTTTCAGCTCTGTGGGCTCTGATCTGTGATCAATAAATGTTCTCTAGGCTATGTTTCACATGTTTCAATAGAAAAGGGCACTGCACTCCAAGGGGCCCCTGACATCCTACACTTATTGGAGACGGGACACTGGATGCAATAATAGAGAGAATAAAACAATCCAATTATTACCCTGTGATAATGGACTTCACCCAGCACCATAATGCAAACATGTGACCCACCCCCAGCTAACTCTGAGTGGGCGCCTTTCCTGCAGCACAGAGCAGGTGAGTTTTCAGTACCAACACTGTCAGTTTCTGTCTGAACTACAACAAACATACCTGTTAACTGACAAACTGCATTTTTCACAGCTGACAGGATTCACCTCCAAATATAGACATTATTTTCGGAAGGTTTCTTCTTATTCGAAAGCAAAAATGGCACTGTTTCAGCTCAGAGAAGTGTTTGGATCACAGTGCAAATTATACAGTGGCAATCAGGGGGGTCAACTTTTGTGTTACCGTCCCTACAGTATCTTGCTTGATTAACTAAAGCTTTTAATTAGAATGAAAAACTAGCTAACATTAGTTAGCTAAACTGTACCTTAAGGCTAAGGTTAGAATCTAGCTAACATTAGTTAGCTAAACTGTAACTTAAGGCTAAAGTTAGAAACACAAAACATTAGTTAGTTAAACTGTAACTTAAGGCTAGAGTTAGAAACAAAACATTAGTTAGCTAAACTGTAAACTTCAGGCTAAAGTTAGGAACTAGTTGACATTAGTTAGCTAAACTGTAAACTTCAGGCTAAAGTTAGGAACTAGTTGACATTAGTTAGCTAAACTGTAAACTTCAGGCTAAAGTTAGAAACACAAAACATTAGTTAGCTAAACTGTAAACTTAAGGTTAAAGTTAGAAACACAAAACATTAGTTAGCTAAACTGTAAACTTAAGGCTAAAGTTAGAAACACAAAACATTAGTTAGCTAAACGTTAACTTAAGGCTAAAGTCACAAACTAGCTAATAGTCTTCATCCATAGATACCTGACACAGGTAAGAAAGCAAAGCGTATCAAACAAGCTAGATAGTTAGCTACTGCTACTACCAACAATATCTACCCTTCTTCAGTGAACAGAGACTCAATGAGGGAGCCACTAATGGAGTGAGTGAGGCAGGCAGACGAGACGTTCAGGCAACGTCAGGTAAGGAAATGGTACGGTCTGAAATCGTATTATTAAAAGATTCTCCCGGACATTTATATGGGAAATTAACTGTAGTAATAAGTAAGAAGGATATAAATGTTTCAACCCCCCTAAACTGTTGTTTTTGCCTCAATCATACCGTATCATATCATATCATACCTCTTATCCTCCCAACCCCCATATTTCTATGTTGAGCTCTATAATGCATCTAAGTTGAAGTCTGATAATTTGACTCTTCTTCACAGTCATTATGTTCAGTTCAGTTTCTTTCTATATATTTAATTCTCATTCTTTAAGGGCAAATGTTCAGTAACTGGAAAAAAACTTAAAAGGTAAAGAAGGAGGGTTTGTTCTTTGTAGAGCTTTCTTAAGATAAATGGATTCTTATAAAACATATTTAATTCTTCATGTAAAGATTATTAAATCTTTATATGAACACATTTAACTATGATAAACGTGGACGCGGGGGAGAACGTTCCTGATCTGGATGCTCTAGTGCTGTTAAGAAACTTCTTTAACCACCAGTAACTGTTTTAACCACTCAAATTACCGCTGACATTAATGTCGAATGCTGAAAGTTTTTCACTTTAAACGCCGATTCAAACGGTTTCCTTTCCCTTCTCGCTTAAACCAAATCACAGATATTTTTCCTGCCTGGAAGCGGCCGTTTCCGCCTGGATCCTGGAGCAGTTGCTGTTTCACGGAGCTGACGGTGTTTGTCAGTGTAAAGTGAGTTTGAACAGGAAGTTGTTTCCTGATGTTAGTGAACTTCTGTTTCCAAATCACACTCACCTGTGGATGATCAATATTCGGCCCGTGTCCCCGTGATGACCGCACGGACACACTTGATTTATTTCAGCGTTTCCTTGGAATTTCCTGTCCACCGGATTTTCTGAAGGCGCGATCAGTCCCCGCCCAACTGAAACTGAAACTTTCAAACATTTAAAAAAAACTTTTAACATTGAAAGACGCTCATGTATTATTTTCTCAAACTAAAACATATTTATTTTCTCTTCATCCTGTTTTCATTCTTAAACTTTCCTCTGATGTGCAGTTTAATGTCATGTTTTGTTTAAATCTAATACTTGCTGCAATATCTGCATTTCTGAGTGGAAGAGAAAAAAAAACAGATTCCATTCATTTTTTTTGCAGTGATGTTGCAAGGTGTTCTTCCTCACATCCATATCGATTATTGATGACGTCAGAATATCTGCAGAGAAAAGGATTCCCATTAAATCTGCCCGAAGAACTACTGTTACACAGACTTTTGTCTCTTTATTATACATAAAAACTGAACTTTACATCAGTGAAGGTTCAACAAATGATATGCCATGTATCAAAGGGTCATAGATATTCATTGATCATAGTTTGAACATCATTAAAAATGATTTGGCTGGCTTTTGATTTAAAATGTCCACTGCCTAAAATGGTGTTTCCAACTGCACTCATGTTTTACTATTGCTCTTTGTACCTTTTCCATCACAGCTCACGTCCATTGTTCTCTTTTACAATTTGATTCAAACAGCTGTGAATGTTCAAGGTTCTTCAGCTTCAAGTATCTGTACCTACACCTTCTGATCATGTCTTTTAATGGTGGATGGTTCATGTGGTTTTCACCTGAACTCTCCGCTTTGGGTGTTGATATCAGAACCAGTGAATGATCAAATGATTGATCACTGAGGAGCCAGATCTGGGGTGTTGATGAGAACCATTTGTTTCTCCTTCAACAGTCCTCTGACTCTCTGACAGCGGGCTGGTTCTTCCTCAGTGTTGAACTCAGTCTCTCCCAGTATGAAGTTCCCCACTGAACTCCTCTCAGACCAGCTGTTCCCCAGCAGAACAACCCTCAGCTCAGACACTGAAAGACAAAACACTGAATAAGAAAAGGCTAATTAAACTGAATTTAACAGGTGTGAGGGTATCACTACTTCTTCAGTAAGGACTTGGAGAAACTTAAATGTGACTTACAGGTTATACATAATATTTAACATATTCTGTCTCAGTTCAGTTTGACTCACTGTGAGGAGGCAGAAGTTCAAAGCTGTCACTGTGAAGACACAGACATGTCAATATTCATGCAGTCATCTTTGCATTTGCACTGTAGTAGGTCTGGTTATAACAATAACATTGTAGAGGATATGGGATACACAGACAGTTATATACAGGGTGTATATTGCAAATATCGGCTGTATTTATGGCAGAACAGTTGTATTAGATTGCATTAGACTGTACAGGTGTACCTAATAAAGTGAAT